GCGGCCGGCGAGCGGCCGAAGCGGTTAACCGCTCGAGCCGCTCAAGCCGGTCACGCGGTTCGGCCGTTTGGTTTACCCTAAAAAAAATAAAAAAATAGAAAAGGCCAATCGTGGAATCGGCCGTCAACACCTCTTGTCTCGGCATCGGCTTTTCTCGACGGCATCGCCATCCCCAGTCGCCATCGCCAGTCCTTGTTGTAGCAAGCAGCTCCCCGCTCCCAGCGCTTCCATCCCGTCGCCACCGTCGCAAGCAGCTCCCCGCTAAGCTGCCCTGTCTCACCAGAGGCTTGGATTGAATCCAAGCCATTTCGCGGATTGGGACGAGGAAGAGCATTTATGGGTTAAGAAAGGATGAGGAAGAATTGAATGTGGTGATGGATTTTTGAGGAATTGCAGAAGGCTATAGTGGCTGAAAAATGAAAATAGGTGCGGCGGTGGGAGAGGACGAAGGAGAGAGGGAGGGGGGATGGGGAAGCGGAAGGAAGGAAAGTGATGGGTGGGGGGCGCTGTCGCTTAGGATTAGGTTAGGGTTTTTTTTAGTTGCTGTATATATATGTTGTGTAGAATTATTAAATGATACCTGTAATTACATTTTTACTCATTAAATCATTGAATTATTACTTTATGTGTGTTCTACTATGATATTATATTGTTTATAATGTACCGGTTCTCAAACGATTTTTAAACGGTTTAATGCCGGCTGGACCACTAATGATCGAACCGTTCACGTTACCGGGTCATACTCCGGCTCGGCTTTGACAGCATTGACCCACTCTCCCTACAGAATCTCCCTATATTAGTGGGTAGAAGAAGAGGTAGATTACTATCTATACGGAATGAGATACGAGGCCAATGCTTGAAAAAGTTGCCATTGTTGTAGGGAATATTCTTTTGCAGCAATAACAGCTTACAAATATATAGAGATGGAGTAAAGACTACAATCTGAAATGAAAAGTTAATCATATTATGGATAAAAACTAACCTATCTTGTAGAGAAGTTTCCTTAGCAATTGCAGGAGAATTTAAGTTTAAATAGAATGTTTGTTGAAATATAAGTTTTCTTAGCAATAGTGGGTTTGTAAAAATATAAAACATCAGTATGAATGTATACTGTTGATTATGTCATCCTTATCCTTACTTAATATTATAGGAATTCAAAACTAAATTAGTGCCACATAAGCACATGGTTAGCTCTCATTCATCCCATGTGGATAACCTCTAATAATAATTGAAATATTTTTTTTCTTGCACTTTAATGCACCATTATTAGAAATAAATCATAAATTGAGTTAATAACAATGTTAAAGTTCCAATCAATGCAATCTTTGGTTTTCTTCTATCTCTTTATTGAAAGCTTCTCTCTCAAAAGAAAAGTCAACATTGAAAAGGGGAAAAAAGGATCAAGTTCCGTAAAACAAACAAAACTCTCTTCTTATTTACTAAATTATTTTTTAGATTTCTAATATTTATCTTCTTTACTTTTTACACAATTATAAAGGAAGGAAATAATACTACATATGTGGTTTTGTTTGTTTGTGGATAATAGGGAGGGAGTTACATGAAGCAATGGTTAGATGGAAAATGATTGAGCAGTTGTAACATATTTTTGAGTTGTTGACAGGGGGAAAATTCATCGTATATGAACACAAAGCATTGTCGACTATTCCCTTTTTTCCTTGATGCACAATTGGTGATTGATCTCTCTTCCCCAACAATATGTGGTTGCTTACGATTAACTGACTGAGTTCTACTCTTCTGCCCATCATGTATCTCTTCCCATTCTTTTCTTAATTTCTTCCAGATTGTGAAGGTGGGGTCGTAAGTTTTCCACTAGATTTTGCAAATGTATTTCTTTTTCTCCTTCATTTCCAAGTAGTTTATTCTATTCAAGGAGAAAACCATCTTGCGACAGCAAACCTCAACCCCAATAGATACCCGAAAACTCGGGAAAAGTTTAATACGAGCTTACAGCCATGGCGGTGGCACCAAGGGGTAAAGCAAAAGGGGCGACTGCCAAGGATCGATCAAGGACCTCATAGACACAATCCTGCGCCTTTACCACCTCTACCATCCCTTGGTGGTTTCCAAGTAGTTTTATATGATTCTCTCTCTTGCCTTATACTTTTATAAAAATAGGTAATAGATATTTGGAAGGGTTAATTTATGGGACTTAGAGAATCTCTCTTTGGGTTGAAAAATTGATCATTTTCCTTGGAGGCCTATCGGAACATGATTCCTTGGATGCTAAATGGAAAACAGAGTTATGAGGGTTGTCATGTTGCCAAACTCCATCAAAGGATGTTTGTTTATGTTTGTTATGTTCAAGAGCAACATGCTACTACCTAGCCATATAATGATGATACGATAAGTGAGTAGTATGTAGCAGTGGGGTTATAAATAGAAGGAAATATATGTGGGATTTTTAAAGGTGATGAAGAAAATGTGGTGGTGGTGATCTTTAGGTTCTCTGTGTTGATGTTCTTTAAATTTCTACACATTCCCAATGACAATTGTGTATTTTCTTAGTGTTGATTTTGGCCTAACTATTTTCTTATCTACTACTGTCTGAAGTTGATTGATGCATCAAACCTGGTTCATGAATGGAGACTATGCAAGATAGAATGATCTGGGTTGTATTGAAGTTCACGACTTCCATGATTTATCTCAGCGAATATTAGATAAAAAAGCACAAGTATGCAACGCAAGGAATTTGTATCTCTCTAATAAATATATATTGTGTGTATAAGCGGTTTGGTTTGCTGAATATATTGTTCTATGTTTTTTTTTTGTGCAACTGATAGTTAGTTTTGTTGTTGGTTTGTTTAATATTTTCAAGGTAAATTAAATGAGTAAGCTGAAGATAGACGATGTGGATGAAAATGTGGTTCTTCTCTCTTCCAGAAGTGTAAAGACAACTAATGTTGCATGATATACAAAAAAAAAATTAGATTGTAATATTCTCTATGAGTCTGATAAGAAATCAACGTGTGATATAATTATTTTTATTTTTATAATTCTTACATCCAATACTTATGTCTTATGCAGCAGTTTCGATACCAAATTATAAATCAATAAACAAAAGGTCTACAAATAGTTAATTTAGAAAAATTATTTTTTTAATAAATAAACGATAGATAAAAAATTGTGAAACAATAACTGAAATAAGGTAATTAAGATTCACAATTCCATACATATTATTATAATTTACATGAACTATAAACAAATAAGAATACAACAACAAAAAAACAATCAAGCAAAACACAGGACGGACGGGTATAAAGCTAGTTTGGGCATAAAGGAGGAGGGGTTCATTGCAAGAGACATAAAAGAAACTGGAGGGCTACCGATATTCATCAATTCAATGAGAATAAAACTTAAACGGAGAAAAGTTAATTGCCGGAAATAAGATGTTAATTTTTTTTTTTTTTTTTTTTACTATAGATGGTGGAGAGTGGAGACAATATGGATATACGCGATCAGAAAGAGGGGAAAGAGACAAAAACAAACTAGAAGAAGTGATTTGATCTGGTTTGGAAGTTTATAGATGAGAGAAGAACGTTAAACAATTTCAAGGTTGTTTCATTTTTTTTTCCTTTTTTTTTTCAAATTCTAGTCCAACAAAATGGTGTGATTGCTCATTATAAAAAAAATGGTATGATTGCTATTACATTAAACTATTTATCATGTTACACAGAAGCACATAAAAATGTAGTAAAACTTGATTTGAACCACTTTTGTGTGCTTTCTTTTTGATGAAGGTGATAAACTTTATTAAGGAGAGATGATCTCACAGACAAAAGAACCAGAAAAGAAAAAGAGAAAAACCAACAATAAAGTCCGAACCAAAACAGAAGAGAAGCAGGGGAAGTCAAAGCAAAGGATCCAGCAGTCCGAACCAGCAAGAACCCCCTGCTCGAAACCTAACCCCCTGCTCGAAACAGATCCAAATGACCAGCGCCTTCCTCAATCATTGAATCTGACGAATACGTTCACGAATCCAGGAAGCAGCACCCAGACAATCGATCTTTCCATTCGCAACTCCCCAACCTTCAACATTCTTCAAGACTTTCCTAGCGATCTGATCCGGGTTCCTCGAGTTACCATTAAAAATTCTGCTATTTTTTTTCCAGCCAAATGCACCAACAAACAGCGTGGAAAGCACAGTATATAAACCAGCCTTCCATACAATGAAGGGTGTCAGTTGGCCAATTCTCCAGAATATTTTTTTGCGCTTTCACCACATATACATATGATTTTGCCCGATTTTATACACCAAGCTTTTACATGAAAATTTAAAACGGTTTAATAATCTAGAAGTGTGAAGTTGTAAGAGTTTAAATTTTAAACGATGATTTTGACTATGTTTTTGTTTATCCTTTCATTATTAGTGAGCTCATCTTGATATATTTGTGTGGCGATAGTTCTTTCATAGCAGTGATTACTCATTTACCCGTGGTGATTCTCGTTTATATCAAAGCCAAAGATGAGATGGCTAGTTATATTTCATCGACAAAATATTTATAGTATACCATTAATAAACGGTGTCAAGAACCAGTTGATCCCAATAACTTGAGTTGTTGGGAGTTCATATACTGTTTATTAACACCACCCCCCTCAAACTCAAGCCATTTAGATAGGCTTGGAGTTTGGACTGGCACAGGTCCGGACACCGTGTGCTTAACACGCACAGATGGGGGTCACTAGGAATCGAACAGAAGACCTCATGGTCACAGAAGGCACTGATACCATGTCAAGAACCAGTTGATCCCAATAACTCGAGCAATTGGGAGAGGTTCAATCGTGGTTCATATACCGTTTACTAATATACGAGGCCGGCGGCTACGAAGCCGAAAGCAAAGAGCACCAAAATATATTGATTGGCAACCGGAAGCTTTAACCATACCACATAACAAACGAGTACATAACATAAAAGGCAAAATGATGCAGGCGCAATATTCAACATACGACCGTAGCACACTACTGCACCATCTCTTTTATTTTGATACTACCACATTACCGACTTCTCTAATACAGGACCTTAGTTCAACAACACATTAATTAGTTGGCAGACGGAGGAGGGAACTTGCGGTGACGCGGCTTCTCGTGCTTGGGCTTCTCATGGTCATGATGGTGACGGCCGGACCCTTTCTCGCCCTTGCCACGTCCTCTGCCGGAGTAGTGATCCCCCTCAGCCACAACCTCCTCCTCCTCCGCCGCGAACAACCGCCTCATTCCTCCTCCGGGGTGGTGGTGCTTCCCTCCCTCGTTAGGCGGGTAGGGGTGGTTGTGCTCGTGGCGTGGCTTGTGCTCCGGCGAGGGCTTCTCCCCCTTACCGCGGCCTCCGCGGTGATCCTTTCCGACAACAACATTGTTGTCCTCCTCCTCTAACAGGAGGTGGCCGTGTCCGTGTCCCGGCCCGTGTCCGCGGCCATGGTGGGACTTGTGAGGCTTGTTTCTCCCGAACCTGTCGAGCTCGTGGTCGTCGCCGGCGACAGAGGGAGTTGAAGCAGAGATGATGGCGACTCCGAGGAGTAGGAAGACCGTCAAGTATTTGCAAGACATCGTTGAGAGAAGTGGAATGGTTGTTAACTTGTTGTAGTGTGGTGGTGGTGGTGATGAAACTTTGCATGGATTTATAGATTTTGTGAAGACCTCTAACGTCACCGCCGACGTCACACTAGTTTGGCTTTTTGTACACTTTTTATCTCTACTCGTTTGCGACTCGGGGTCCATCGAGTTGGAAAATTTGACTTTGATGAGTGAGCAGAGTCATGCACGTGATAGTGATATTTGGTTCGTATCTTTCTGTATCTGGCTGCCATATGTGCCTTTGTTCCACATTATAGTCTAGTGTTATGCTTCAGTGACTTCCTACCAAACGAAGGAATAGTGCTATATGCCTGGTTTAGTCCTCCGATTGAATTGGTTGATCCTACTAATTAGAATAACATATCTCGCTTTGGTATAAATAAATTTTATAAGTTTTGATAAATTTAATTTCAAATGAAATATTTTTATGTTTAATATTTAAAAAAATTCATGTTCAATTTTAAATTTTGAATTATTTGGAATTGGAACTAGTTATAGCAATTCCGAGAAATTGAGATGGAATTTCTAAATGAATTCCACAAGTATTTACTAATTATAATAGAATAATATAATTATCCTCTTTTATTAACTAAATAACTTATAAATATGACATACCAAACACAAGAATTCATTTGACAATGAATTCTACACGACAATAATTCATTTTATATCTCATGATTTGAATATCTCATACCAAAAACAAGATTTCATTTGACAATGAATTCTATACGGTAATTCATTTTACAATGAAATGAATTCTCGATTCATTTGGTACCAAACTGTTTGTACGAGTAAAAGTTGATCTGTAGTGTAAACGATATCAAAATCTATATACGGAGAACTCTTATTAACCTGAGTTTACATGATGAGTTGGATTATGATCGACTTAGTTATATGGTTTTGTTCGATCATTAGATCAAGTATTTAAGTTCTCAACACTCCTAATATTATTTGTTATAGACAAAATGACCCCTAATATAAATAATCAATTTAAAGCACATAATATGGCAGACATGTACTACCCTAACATGGATTGTTATCATCACAACCCCACAAACCAGAATTTAATTTGTAGTAGTATATATATGAATAGGAGTATGGTAACCCGAAAAATTTGAGGCATCAGATTTTATTAGTAAGATAACAATATCTAGTAGGGGTGTAAAACAGTGCGGTTTAGACTAGATTGTACCTTTTATACGGTCTGCGTAGTAGATCGAGAGGGTAAAACACAAACCATAGATCAAACTTTATATTATATGGTCGAGACCATATCATGCTTGTACAGTGTGATCCGGCACGGTCTGAACCAAGCAAACCATGTTCAACAAAACTTCACTCTTCTCCCTCCCTCTGATCTTCCCCGATATCAATAAAAATAAACAATTTTGGTTACCAATATCTTAGTAAAAAAAAGAAGTTAGTGACCATAATTAATCTGCGATGAAATATGAGCTTAGAAGTGGAATTTTGTTTTTAATTTATTACTCTCACTATAGTTGTCACTACTCTATCCAATATCCACTCAAGATAAAATACACAATTAATAATTTTGTCTTCCTCTTCCTCTTTCAGCTACCGCTTCTCTCCCTCTCCCATGTGGTCCGGAAGGTTCTCGCGCTTGATTCCACCACGGCGATGTTGAGACCATAATTTATCTTATCTCACCAAGGTAAATACTTTTGTTATGCATTTCTATATTATTGACTCTAAAGCCTAGCCAATGGAGATTATTTCCCCATATTTTTCTGTTTTTAAGTGGTTATTTCATTAGAAAATAATGCATAGGAGATCAGATCATAAGTAGTCTCTTGGTTTTCAGTTGGATGAAGAATGAATAGATTTGTTGTGCTTGTATTGAAATCTATTATAGGAAGATCTTTTTTTTTTTGCTCGTCATCGAATTGTTCAAGCTCGCTGGTTTTTCTTCAAAAAGAAAAAATGGAGGTTTCGTGTTATTTTTGTTTGGATTAATGTGGGTCATAAATGGTCATCAAAGTCAACCGCTTTTTATCGCGCTCCATACCCCATATTAAAGGAAAAGATTGTAAACCAGACCAAACTAGACTGTGATTCTGGTCTCCCGATCCAGATCAAATGATGTGGTCCTATATCCGCTACTTCTCATATGATTTGGTCAGGATTCCCATACCTAATATCCAGAACTAGAAATTTAACTGCTAAGAATTTAAGGTATAATATTATGCTCTAGTTTTTTAAAACCTAAATCATAAGCTCAATAAAATTAGAAGTAATGAACGGTGATTCTAATTCATCGAAATATATTCAGCACATCAATTTAGGACTTCCCCCACGATTTAGTGAATTAAAATCTATTTTTATTCATTAACATTGAAGAATGTAATATCATATACCCCTAAATCCAATAAATTCAAAAATAATATATTTTTTATGAAGGGTATGTTAACTAATCAAATCTCACAAACGCGATAAATGAACATATCGATTTAACGTGGTATCCCTGGAATTCCAGAACTAATCCACGGATGAGCTAGGGCTCTTCAACTACAGTTTCACTATGCTGAAAATGTTAAGAAGAGATCAGCCGAAAATTGTACTCCCTCATCTAGCTGTACAACAAATATATATGTGCCCTAGGTTAGGTTTTACAATCAACGCTCTAACCGTGCATGGGCTGCATGGGTTGCATGGCAATTATGGGCTAATCAACACTTAAAGCCCATTAATAACAAAGAGAGATACAGATCTCTTAACAGCCTCCCCAAATTGATGCCGGCCTAGAAGCAGTAATTTGTCACTGAGAAATCGATGACGTTGAGCAAGGAAGGCCTTCGTGAGGAGATCCGCAATCTGATCAGTGGTGCGGACATAGTGCAACTGGATAGTACCTTCATGAACCAGATCACGACGTAATGAACATGGACTTCAATGTGTTTAGTCCGATCATGGAGGACTGGATTAACAGCAATGCGTACAGCACTAGTGTTGTCCACAAATAAGTCCATAGGAACCACTCCACCCAGTTTATACCAAAATCCTTGAGTAAACGATGGAGCCATTCAAGTTCAGAAACTACCTCTGACATGGAATAGGGATGACAATTTTACCCATACCCAGGGCCGTCCCATGATATTCGGAGGCCCTGTTCGAAAATTTAAAATGTGGCCCTAAAATTTTTCTCCACAAATTTATTAAAAATAAAATTTATTAAATAATTATAAAAAATACATAGTCTCAGAAAATGATTACAAAAGAAATAAATGATCACCTTTCTAGTTTGACGAAGAAACCAAAACCAAATTCCCAGGGCTGTCTAATGCTTCGTGGGGGCCTTGTTCCAAAATTGAGACGTGGTCTAAATTGACTTTTAACTATAATAAAACTAAAATGACTGTAATATCTTTCTACATAGCTTAAAATAAAATTAGGGTAATGTCTATTTTTTATCCAAACCTTTTTCAGATTCTTTTATATTATCCAAACCTATTAAAAATTTATTAATTAGCCAAATTTTTCATAATGCACCAAAATATTAGTCATTTTTACGTTATTGTTAATAATTCTGTAACTCTTTTCTTAGTTAAAATACTAAAATTTTGGAATCTTGACCTTCATGTGTCTCTTCCAAGTCAGTATCATGTTGTCAAGTCAATATTACTAACAAAAATGCTAACCGAAAGTTAACATTGGGCTAATTTTTAGTATTTCGATAGGTTTGGATATTATAAAAGAATCTGAAAAAGGTCTGGATAAAAAATAGACGTTACCCATAAAATTATCTATTATCTTTCTTATTTTCGTAGTCTTCATGATATCATTTTTAATTGTTATTATAGCTAAAATTATCTATTAAAATCGTCATCATACTCATAATCAATCAATCATATACTAAAAATATAATCTACAATGTACGATCGGTAACTAACGGATCTAAGTGGAGGCCCCTAATATTCGGAGGCCCTGTGCCGGAGGGCGGGCCAGCACACCCTCTAGGCCGGCCCTGCCCATACCCATGGGTATTTTACTATCCAACCCAATTGGGTTGGGTATGAAATCCAAATATATGGATATGGGTAAAGTTTGATGGGTTTGTACCCATACCCATTTACTTTGGGTTGGGTTGGGTTTATAACAAATGGATTTGGGTTTGTACCCATGCCCAAATACAAATTACAGTTTGGTACCTAAACTTAATAGATATGCATATTTAGTACCTAAATTTAATTTTTTTTGCATATAAGTCCTCAAAATATCGATGGAAAATTATGTTTTGGTACCTAAATTTTTTTGGTCTTACATTTTGGTACCTAAAATTTTCAAGTTTTACAAATAAGTCCAATTTTTGCATGTGTAGTTAAAACACCCTCAAGTAAATGGATATCCATATCCAACCCATACCCATTTAGATAATATCCATATCTAACCCAAACCCATACACACATCACCCAAACCCTACCCATAATAAATGGGTCTACTTAAGTTTGGGCAAAATTACCCATGGGTGGGTAAATTGTCATCCCTAACATGGAACGATATTCTGCCTCTTTGGAAGATTTTGACACCTTATCTTGCTTCTTGCAGCGCCAGGAAATAAAAGCATCACCAAATCGAACACACCATCAAGAAGTAGATCTACAAGTGTCAATATAGCCGGCATAATCGGAGTCAGAGAATGCGCTCAGTTTGTCTGGGCCGCCGAATGGGAAATGAATCCCCAGGTCTTGTGTACCTTTGAGATAGCGAAGAATTCTGTGAACAGCAACTAGATGATCAACAGTCGGATTAGACATGAACTGGCTGACAATCTGTACAACAAATATATATATGCCCTAGGTTAGGTTTTACAATCAACGCCCTAACCGTGCATGGGCTGCATGATACCATGTCATGAACCAATTGATCCCAATAACTCGAGTTATTGGGAGAGGTTCAATCGTGGATCATATACCGTTTACAAACACCCCCTCCAAACTCAATCCATTTGGATAGGCTTGAAGTTTGGAAGAGCACAGGTCCAGACACCGTATGCTTAACAGAAACAACATAACAGATGGGGGGTCACCGGGAATCGAACAGAAGACCTCACGATCACAGAAGGCTCTGATACCATGTTAACTAATCAAATCTCACAAACACGATAAATGAACAGATCGATTTAACGTGATATCCCTGGAATTCCAGGACTAATCTACAGAAGAGTTAGGGCTCTTCAACTACGGTTTCACTATGCTGAAAATGTTCAGAAGTGAGCAGCCGAAAACTGTACTCCCTCTAGCTGTACAACAAATATATATATATGCCCTAGGTTAGGTTTTACAATCAACGCACTAACCGTACATGGGCTGCATGGCAATTATGGGCTAATCAACACTTAAAGCCCATTAATAACAAAGAGAGATACAGCTCTCTTAACAGAGTATGTTGTAGCAAATTTTCTGCGGTACCAAATCATCTATAAGGATAATATTACCGTATTAATCTGGCTCAAGGTTGTCAAGCGGTTTATATCGTTGTGCCGGTTTGACAAGTGGAATGGTACGACCGGTGGTAGAACCAGCTTGTGCCGATTCATGCCGGTTAAAAAATGTGAAAATAATTAATATCCAATGTATTTAATTATATATAAAACATATTTATGGACAATTTAGTTAGAATCAAACAAATATCATCAACTTTTAACTATTAAATTCATAAAATGAATAATATATTACTTTTTTTATTGATTAAATTCATTAAAATAATATCATTTTGCTTAGAATGCACAAGTCGATCATACCGGTCATACCGGTGGTGTCATGTCGGTTTCATAACCGGCACAGGTTGAACCAGATTCAACCGGGTGGCATGCCACGGCATGACAACCATGATCTAGCTCAAAATCCCTAACTACTTCTCCCCATCCTATTCCTCTTGAAGTTCATGTATTTAATTACCAGACTAACCCTGGAAAACAATGTAGCGCCTTTTTCTCGACACATGTGTATGTTATACAATGACCAAATATGTAATATTAGCCGCTTTAATCGATCAGATCATTTTGTCGTGATAGTGTCGGCACACGAACTTTTTCCTCAATTAATATTTAATCCGTTCAACTTTAACTTTGGTAGGAATTTCAACTTTCAACAAACAAGATGCTGTAATTCTTCGAGGCTTAACTACTGCCATTGGAAATTTTATGTGTGACGTGTTAGCTAGAACGTAAAAGATAAACTTCGCTTGGAAATTCAGTAGATCTATTTATGATTGAAAATTAGTACGGTATTGGTATCTCGATATCAAATACTAAAATTTTCAATATTGAATTCCACCCTAAAATTTATTTCAATCTCAATTCATAAGAAATTGGTATCATAATCCTTAACTATTTCGATACTCAATCGGTAGTATCGACTACAAAATTGATTATCATTGCAATTAATCATTAAATACATAAATCTTCATTGAACTTACTCATTATAGGTTCCTATTTAGAGCAAAGAGGCTAGGTAAAGAGTCTCGAGTTCGTGTAGGACAAGGATATGGAAAGGAAAACGGAGATAGTGAGATCTAAATTTCTTGTTGTTGGTAATTTTTAATTCGAGGAATGGAGGTTGAGAGATGACTAATGAGAGTGTCTACTTCTTGGTATTATGAACTTAACAAAAGATTAAGTGACAGACGAGAGCGACTTAAATGAGAAAATCAAAATTGGGTTGGATAGGGGTTTCAATGTGAGTTCTCAAAGAGTGAGAAAGGAAAAAAGTTTGTGCTATATTTCATTGATTTTTTTTAATTATGTATGTTTCATTAATCTTCAATTCTTGTTTTGCCCCATTATTTTTGTATATGCAGACTACAATCCCGTAATCTCGTATGCCGTATGACATTCCAAATTGGATCTCAACTCTAAAAATAAATTCGGATTCAACAATATCAAATAACGATAAATTCATTAAACGATATTCGGTATATTCCAAATATTGATAAATTCATAATGATATTCGATATATTCCAAATATTGATATTGTTGCGTATATTAATTACTTAGTTAAAAGTAATTAATTTCTTGTCCTCCAAGTCCCTTGTTTTCATGTTCTGGGAAAAGAAGGAACTTGGTTGTCATTAGGATTTTAACCCTAAGTCTTTCTCTATATAAGGCATAGCGACGAACCTGTCGTAAGCAAGCCGTCACAATGTAGTCCTATAATAAAATCGTCAGCTGTGAGCTCTTCCGACCTCACCGTGTATTAGTCTCGATCAATCAATCGATCGAGGATACCACGTAAAATTCCTTTGTCTCGTGTTTACTTTTGATTCCGCGTTATCAAATTCTTCACGGTATTAGAGCTGGTTTGGCCAAGTGATCATGTGTTCGAGGATATAACACGTTAACTTACAAGTTTTACGAGTATTGTTATTTGGGTTATAGGTATAATATGCCCCTCTACTATGATGTTTTATCATACATGCCCTTATATTATTTTTTACATCAAACATGCCCCTGTACTTTGTAAAAATGATCAAACATTGCCCTTTTGTTTAAGTTTTCATCCAAAAACTGTTAACCAAGGTCGAACTTTGGTTTGGGCGGCACAAATGTCTAAAATATTCCTAATAATTTCACTTTAGAATTTTTTCTTCTTTTTTGTAGCCAAATAATTCAAATAATTTCACTTTGAAGAGACCCAGAGAAATGAAATGGGAGAAAAAACTGACATTTTCGCTCTCATTTGCCGATGTCGGGTCGTCTAAATCTCGGTTCAACCATGATTGACGATTTTATCAATGGAAATCTTAACAGAATGGCATGTTTGATGTAAAAAATAGTAGAGGGGCATGTTTGATAAAACGTCATAGTAGAAGGGCATATTATACCTATAACCCTTGTTATTTCATATGAGTGATTACTCATTTAATTACCAGTAATGATTCTGATTTATATCAAAGCAAACGGTCGATGAGAATAGCTAGTTATATTTCATCGACAAAATATTACCAAAGTACAAGCCGCCTAATGTAGGGCTGTAACTAGCCGACGGCTACGAGGCCAAAAGCAAAGAGCTGCAAACTATATCACATTACAAACGAGTACACATAAAGGCTAAAGCCTAAACGCAGAGACAATATTACAACATACGACCTCCAGTAGCAGTACTAATACTGCACCATCTCTTTATTTTGCTAGTACGTACCACATTACCGACTTCTCTAATACAGAACCTTAGTTGGCAGACGGAGGAGGGAACTTGCGGTGACGCGGCTTCTCGTGTTTGGGCTTCTCATGATCGTGATGATGACGGCCGGACCCCTTCTCACCCTTGCCACGTCCTCCGCCGGAGTAGTGATCCTCCTCAGCCACAACCTCCTCCGCCGCCGCCGCAAACAACCGCCTCATTCCTCCTCCAGGGTGGTGGTGCTTCCCTCCCTCCTTGGGCGGACGAGGGTGGTTGTGCTCGTGGCGTGGCTTGTGCTCCGGCGAGGGCTTCTCCCCCTTACCGCGGCCGCCACGGTGATCCTCTCCGGCTACAACATTGCTCTCCTCCTCCTCATCCTCTAACAGGAGGTGACCGTGACCGTGTCCCGGCCCATGTCCCTTGCCGTGGTGGGACTTGTGAGGCTTGTTTCTCCCGAACCTGTCGAGCTCGCTGTCGTGGTCGGCGACCGAGGGAGTTGCCGCCGAGAGGAGGATGGCGACTCCGAGGAGTAGGAAAACTGTCAAGTATTTGCAAGACATTGTTGGAGTGTTTGAGTAGTGTGGTGGTGGTGATGAAGCTTTGCATGGATTTGGGTTCTGATTTATAGACTTTGAGAAGACCTCCAACGTCACCGCCGACGTCACGCTAATTTGGCTTTTTGTACACCTTTATCTCTACTCGGTTGCGACGTGGGGTCCATCGAGTTGGAAATTTTGACTTTGATGCATGAGCGGAGTCATGCACGTGAAAGTGATACTGCTAGTCGATAGATATCTATTCTCTGGTAAAGGATCTTTGGTTCATATCTTTGTACTATTTAGTATTTTACCATATGCCTCTTTGTCCCGCGTTCAAACTAGCTAGTGTTATGCTTTAGTGATTTCGTACCAAACAAAGAACTACATAGTGTTGTGCTTTAGGCCTTCTCCAATTCCATTGGTTAATCCCTACTTAGAAAAACATATATATCTCGCCACTTAATCCAAGATAACTACGAGTAAAAGTCGATTGGTAGGTATGTAAATCATCTACAGAGTTTTGAAATATATTAGTATAAAGTTTGAGTAGTAGATGAGAAGTTTATTGGGTGATTGTTCTTCTATAGATTTGGAAAATATTTTGTACATTTATTTTTTAAATATGAGTTACTTTTTTTTAAAAACTATATGACGTACTCTGTTGAGATATTTATCTTTCCTTCAAGTTTGCTTACTTGCTTTTTATCCTATTTGTTATCTTGTGTCATATTCAACTTTCATACATCTCCTATCATTTTGCTTTGTGGGTTACGTTCTTATTCCACAAGTGTTAAAAACATGGTGTTATTTCTTATTGTATACGCCAATATCTTTGTAGATCGAGATTTGGTTGTCCACGGGTGATAGGATGTTGTATTACTACTGACAATTTTTTTTTTTTTGTTGTAGACCTCCTATCGTCCATTATTTTTCGTAATGTAAATAGAAGTTAGTTGTGTCACCTGGTCGATCGTTTGCCGGAAGCGGCTTACCGTTTCCAAAAAGCAGGTGTAAGTTAAAGGTAATTGTGTCATCTGGTCGACCACTTATTGAAGCGGTAGACCGATTTTATGATCCAGTCGACATGTTCGCAAAAGCAGTTTACCGATTATTAGAAACGGTGATCATTTTCTTCGAATCACAATAACTTAAACCACATGCTCCATTGCTTGTGCAAACCTTTGTCAATTCGTTTGAGTTTCTTCTTGCGAATGTACTTCCTAGTCGATCGGGATACTTAACTCGTTAGCTAAAGTACGGCACAGATCGATACAGGCTTACCTTCAAAATTATTGTGGTACGTACTATAAAATCATCCATAAGGATACTGTGAAACTGTGGAAGTATTAATCTGACTCAAAATCACTAAATGTACTTCTCCTCATCCTGTCCTCTTGAAGTACATGTATTTACAATGACCGAATATGTAAAGTAAGCAGCATAATCGGCCGGATCTTTTTGTCGTGATAGTGTCGGCACGCGAACGTTTTCCTCAATTAATATTATTCCGTTTAACTTTGGTAGCAGTTTCAACTTTCAACAAACAAGATGCGCTGTAATTCTTGGAGGCCTAACTACTGCCATTGACAATTTGATGTATGAGTGACGTGTTAACTAGCTAGCCGCCTAACACTTAAAAGATAAACATCGCGTGGAAATTCATTATATATATCCCCAGTGGAAAAGCAAAGTGGGCATACAATGATACAACAATCTCGATTCTCCACGGACTTATTATTTATGTCTGTCACAGCAAATCTAGCCACAAAATTCTGTGGGTCATAGTTGGTTGAGGGGATCTTGAGTGCCCCCGGGGAAAAGTTAATCTGCTAACTTGAAAATTCGTTAGCAGATACTAATTGATATCCAAAATATATGAACTAGTATCCAAGTATTAAAGTATCTAGAGAGCACAGAGTAGTATTTAAAGTTTGCTAACTGATATCCATCATGCATCAACTATTATCCCAAATTCACAAACTAATATCTAGACAACACAGAATAGTATTCATACAAAACATAATTAGTATTCAGATAACGCATAAAAGTATCCAAATAACACATAAAAGTATCCATATTGAATACTAGTTGGTTGATTGTGGATATTAGTTGGTATCTGCTATCTGGATACTAGTTTGTGATGTTTTGAATACTAGTATGTGCTATCTAGATACTCAACAGACTTGGATACTAGTTCATACATTTTGGATATTAGTTAGTATATACTAACGAATTTTCAAGTTAGCAGAATAACTAGCCTGCCTCAGCCGTGCTCCCTCCCAATAAATATGCGCCACCTGTATGATAATAAATAATAGGTGATACTGATATTTAATTAACGTTGAAATGCGTAATTAAGGGTTGTTATCTTTGGTTACAGAGTTCGCATCCTTGGTATTTCCTACAGTAAATAGCTAAGGCTTTGTAATGAATAAAAATATTTTACCTTACAAAGGATTTATGTGATGCAAATTGATGAGATGATCCACAATTTAGTTAAAAAATGAATTTTCGTTCAAATTTATAAAAAAAGTTCACTTACGTAATAAGTTTGTTTAATTGATACGTAAGAAATAACTATCCCGCTCAAGTTTTTATAATGAAGACTTGCATAATAAATTTTTGAATTGATACATAAGAAATAGCTATCGTCCATATGACATTTACATACTGATACTGTAATTATAACTTATGTCACAGTAATAGAATTAATGGTAATATGGGAATGAGAACAACCACCACACCTATATAAACCAACAATCATCTTAAAAAACTTTTGTATAAAATCAACTTTAAATGTATATAATCAATCTCATCATTTTTAGAGGAAAAAGAAGATTATATATAGAGCTCCCTCCCATTCAATCATGAATGGTGGTGTTAGTTGAGAGGGCTGGGGAGGGGAGTGGAGATGCTTGGGCAGCCGCCATGGAATTTCACTTGCGGTTCATACTTTTTTTTTTTGACGATAAGGTTCAACTTTTATTCCATCACCAATACGAAGATAGAGGTTACAAATCTCAAAGGAAATCATAAATTAGATCAAGAACACTAATCCAGTCATATGGAGAGAAGATCTAGCAAGTGATCGCGCAACCCAATCTGCTGTGACATTATATTTACGCGCAACCGCCTTGACCTTGATTTGAGGATTTGCTCTCAGGATTGAAATCATGGATCCAATCCAAGCTGCTCCTCTCCATGGCAACTTCTAGAATCTTGATTAAGAGCTTTGACTAATGTCTGGCAGTCAAACTGGACAACACATTCAGTGCCATATTCTTGAGCTAATTTGAGACCTTCCAAAAGAGCTTTTGTTTCGGCTTCGAAAGGGGTGGAACAAAGGAGGGTGTCAGCTCGCCCGTCACACACTTGCCCATGATGGTTAATGACAACAACACCATAAGCCGCCGGCTGGGAGTCGTTTAAAAACGACCCATCACAGTGAATCACCAAATTATGATTGCTTGGTGGTGGAGAAGTGAGTGAGTGGGCTCCCCTGAGCTGAGGAGAAGGAGAGCAAAGGAGGGGAATCGTCGGACAGGTCGTCCATTCAGTAAGTTCCTTGTATGTTCTCATAATCACATTCGGATGCCAAGGGATTCGATTCTTGAAAACACACTCATTTCTTGCCTTCCAAATATTCCAGCAAAGGAAGATGACATGGGACATGGCTCTTGGTTGGATGACATCCTTTATAAAGTACAACCAGTCAAGGAAGCAGTAGACTGGGCCGGAATTGGAAGGGTTGGGAAGATAGTGTTCCAAGATTCTCTTGCATGGTCACACAAGAAAAGGCAGTGGATGAGGGACTCAATGGGGCTTTGGAACACTTGACAAGTCGTGTTAGGAGAGCATTTCCTTTTAAAGAGATTCTCTTTTTTAGCAAGCCCGTTCTTAGAACACCTCCAAACGAAGAACTTAAGCTTTGGAGGGATATCCAGGTTCCACATCCATTTCCACTTCTCCACATTGGCACTCGTTTGGGGTTCCGTTGAGGCTAAGTGTAGCGCATGGTATGCCGTTTTAACAGTGAAGCTACCGTTCTCATTCAATTTCCACGCCCAGTAGTCCTTAGAGTCCATTTCCCCAATGAGAATTCTCAAAATTGCGTCCATTTCTGAAGTAGACACTTGCCCTTGGATCATATCATTATTCCACTTCCTCCCCTCCTGATCAATCCAAGAATTGACTCTAATATGATCTTGAGGACCACTCTGAATGCTCGCCTTAGGGAGGGAGGGGACCTAAGGGTCTTGATCAATCCATGAGTCATCTCCTGACCCAATCACTCTCACTGCTCCCATATTGATGACTCTAATATGATCTTGAGGACCACTCTGAATGCTCGCCTTAGGGAGGGAGGGGACCTAAGGGTCTTGATCAATCCATGAGTCATCTCCTGACCCAATCACTCTCACTGCTCCCATATTGATGACATTTCTGGATTCCCAGAGGCTAGCCTAGATCCACGATGGTTTGCTTCCTTTTTTCGCTGTGAGGAAGTTACCTCTAGGGAAGTAGAGTCCTTTGAGAAGTCGGCTCCATAGGGCATTAGGGGTGGTCAGGAGCCGCCAGGCTTGCTTTGCCAGAAGGGCCATATTAAAATCTCTGAAGCTTCGAAAACCCAGACCTCCTTCTAACTTCGGGGCACAAAGAATTTCCTTACTACACCAGTGTAGACTTCTCTTTTGCATCGACCCTGACCAGAAAAAATTACTGAGGAGAGAATCCATCTTCTTCGTTAGGGATACTGGTAGAAGGAAGAGGCACATAATGAAAGATGGAATAGCCTGAATCACAGATTT